ATCTGCCCATCCAGCACGGATGGGGTTAAGGAGATCAAAGCCAGGATGCACTTTGTGTTTCGCAGTGAGACGCTTCCTAACCCAGGGCCAGGGTGACTATTGCCCTCCTCCGGTTTACAAATCAGCATCAAAATAACACAAATCAGCCCCTGCTCTGAGTCTAATCGGTATCTCCACCTCCTGTCTCCGTCCAGCTCTTCCAGCCCCCACCTCCGCACAATAAAACCGGCCAGTGTTTAATATCAGGGCAATCTGCCTAATTCACGCGTCCCTTTGCAGGCGTTTTCTTGCCCCCCTCCCCGATCCTGTCCCCAGCACCCACATTTTTCATCAGCAAGGGCCTCACGTGCTCCCGATGCCGCCCTTCTCGCCCGGCAGACAGGGCCATTGGAAAACTCGGATCCGCAACAGCTCCGTGCGGAAGGCGCAGATCTCCTGCCACCGCCTTTTAAGTCTCCCTGGGAAGTGCAAGAAGGGGCTTAACAAAGCTCTATGCAGCCGATTGTGTTATCAAGGCACTTGGCACTACCAGCTGATCCTTGATTGCTATTCATCCCTCCGGAAAATAAAACACCCTTTTGTAGTAAAAGTGTAACTGGTTACTACGATGCCCCACGCATTAACAAAAGTAGCTTTTTACCAAAATTACAGATGATGAAAGCCTGGAAGTGGAATCACACCAAAGTAACCAGTTGTTTCCACACGTTTCATTAGAGAGCAGGGAGTTGCTTTCTGCAACGTGAAAGGTAATGCACTAGATACGCTGTGCTACACGTTTGCACAGACAACKGCAGAGAGCTCTGCAAAACAAATTTTAAGGGTAACGTTTTTCGTTGTRGAGTCCTTGCTGCTGTAGCATCCTACGTGTGCAACTGCCAGCACTGTGGTGAGTAACATCAGCTCTCACGGAGCAACATTTTTGTGCTTTTACTTGAGAGATTTTCAACAGGCTTTTCTCTTTTTTCCTCCACCCCGCCAGCAGTCCTGCTTATTAAAGAGCACAGTTATCTGAAGGGTAGAATTTACTAGGTAGAAGGGTAGAATTTGCTGGTTCCGAGGAATAAATCCCTATTTGCGTGGCGGGGAAGCATTCCAGAATACTAAAGGATCTGTTTGTTTGCTAATCTACTTAAGCACCCGTGGGCCTTACCCGAGCAAAGAGGGTGTCTGGGGGCGCGCTGGCCCTGCCAGCAGCACCAGCTCCGACCCGCCGCCCCACACGGAGCCGCTCCGAGGGGCGCCCGGCGGCGCGCCCGGCTCCACGGCGCTGCCCGGGGACCCGCGGGAGCCGCCGCCGGCAGCGAACACAGCCGGCTCCCCRTTAACGTGGAGCTGCAAAGAAGGGAAGGGCCTGGCGCGTGGTGGGGCAATGCGGGCGCGTTCCACATCCCGCCGCTGTGGGAAAACCTGCTGATGGAGAGGAGGGGMAGCGTCACGGGGCGCCAAGCAGAGCGGGCCCTGCGAGCGACACGCGGGGCTCCTGCCGGCAGCGTGGCCAGCCGAGGGGAGCTCGGTGCTCCAGCGCGGATAACCCAGCGCGGCAGCTCCRCCTCGGAGCTTATCGCAGCCCTTCCCACACCCGGCTGTTGCACCCGCTTCCACATCACCCGTGTGAGAGCCCCCCGGGCTAGTCGAGGAGATAAGAAACCCGGGGGGTGGTTAGGGGCACACACGGACCCACCTTCCGCCCCTACTGCCTCCTCCGGCCTTCCCGCCGGAGCCCGCGCGGAGCCGGCGCTTCCCGCCCCACTGCTGGGATCCGTGGCCGGCCCGCAAGCAGGGAGAACCCACAGCTCCCAAGCGGAGCCCTGGAGCCGCTGCATTAAAACCTGGAGAGGAAGATGGCACAAGCTAAACTGTGTAACACACAGCATACGAAGCTCTGGAGAGAACGCATGGCTCAGTTTCCTAAAGAAAAGTTCAATAAATGAGCAAGTGGAATTTGCAGAAAGCACAGACACAACATCCAAGATTAGGAATAAGTTTAAGTCAAGATATTTTTCTCTCAGGCATTAGCCTGGGATACAAAATCATRCCTAAAATACAACGGCAACTCTGCCTCTTGCACCCACTGCCTAGAAAGAAGCCCTTTACTCCGTCGCATGCATTACGTTACTCACCGTATTGCCTTTCATACTAMAGGTAGGAAAAAGCACATGGGCAACGGTGAAAGATGTTGAGSTTCATAGGGGGCTAAAAAAATGTGAATATCGACTGGCAATTCAAAGCTGTCCCTCACAGGTCTTGCCAGTGCTCATCACTTAACATCAACACTTTGGTGTTTCCAGCTCCGCTGTCCCTTTCCTTGCTCCATAGGCCCCGAGCAGGGCGCAGCGGGGATCCTTCATCCCAACCTCGTCCCTGCGCTCACCGGCTGACGCTCGGCTAGGGCAGCTTTGGGATTGGCACGGGTCTGCTTTCTGCAGGAGAAGAACCACGCTCGGACTTTCAAAATGAGTAAAGAAACTAGCAGCAAAGAGCCAAAATACACACACCAGGAAAACCAGTTTTAAAGACACAAAATTCAAAAGGGTAGACAAGACTAAATTCAATGATTTTCAATAAGTCTTTGAAAATAATCTTTACTCTGTCCCCAGTATTTCCCCCCACACCTGGACTAAAGAAACCTTATGCTCTATTCTCGTTTAGAGGCTGCAGGAAAGTTATCCATAACAAATTTTTCTTTCTTTTTCTTTTTTTTTCCCCAGGACTAAGAAATTGTATATCGTACTTGCAGCGAAAATCTGTTTTACACGTTAGGGAAAACACAGGACTTTTTTCACATTAAATGAAGGGATTTTTTRCATAAATTATTCTCTAGGTCAATTTTGGCAAGCCTATCAAAAGACATTTTAGCCCATTTTGCAAGACGTTGTGATTGGAAGAAAAAAGTTAAACTTTGTATTTAAACAAAATGTGCCCAAAACATTGAAAAGTTGATTTAATGTTAACAATTCTGCAATGCAAGCAGTATTTGTTCCAAAAAATGGCTCCAAAAGATAATGTCAGGCAGGAAAAAGACTGTATTTCAAAGAAATGTAAAGAAATACGGATAGAAATGGTTCTTCTGGAGGTAAGGGCAGGACAGAAAGGGAGAGGAGATGTGTTCTCCTCAGACATGCTCTTTTTTCCTTCACCAAGCCTTTGTCTTYTTAATAAGGGTGAATCTCCGAGACCCACCCAAGCAAAACCAAGGGTGATCAGCCCTGCAGAAGGAAGAGCTCCGCTATTGCTGATTTACTCGGCGGCGTTGACGCGTTCGGGCTTATAAGGCCTCACACGGCACGCAAGTTGGTCGAGTGCCAGGGCACAGCACGTTCAGTGAAACCTGCTGCGAGAAGCTCATCCCTGAATTCAAAAACGTTCATCTAAATGAGAGGTTAGTGGAAGGCGCTCTCGGAGAGTCCCGTTCTACGGTGTTTGTATTGATGAGTGTCCTCATCAATAAGTGAGAGTTTCAGGGTGCAAAGCACTCACTGGGCTCAGATCCCCCAGCATTTAGATTCAAGCCCTATTCAGTAGCTGTGTTTCCTCAAGAGGTTTCAAAATGCCACCGAAAGGACAATGTTGCTGATGAGCTTTGCTCAGAACCGCGTTCCCGTGCGAGTTGTTGGTGATCTTCCCAGCACTCGGATTCGAGGGTTTCACGTTGCTCGTGGCTGGTAGGAGCCATCTGCCAGGAGGAACCCGAAGGGAAACCACGGGACCCTCCTTCCCATCTCAAACTGCCTGTGGTTTGGACCACAGCAAGGCTCGCAGTGGCATGACACGAGCCAAGCTACCCTAACGGAGTATTGGGAGCAGTACAAACCTTTGAGGGATTTCACAGCTATTTGCTGTAACSTTTTTAAAGGATTTTTTTTTTTAATTGAGTTCAGTTCCATTCCACAAATCCAGCCACAAAAGAAGAGGTTTCCTGCATTCGTTTCCAGTCACTTCAGAAATGTGATGTATATTAAGAGATTTGGTAGCAGGTGGGAAATGAGAAGATAAATGTGGACAGGAATCATTTCTTTTCTCCAAGACGCCAGCAGCTGTCAGGGCATCCTCTCCAAATGTCCTAAAAGGCAATGTTCTAAATCCCCTTTGATATACACAGGAGACTACTCATCAAACCCTTCCTGTTGTACTATAAACCAGTCAAATAATGAAAAAAGAGCAAAACTATCCTTGCCATACCTAGCATCAGGATAAACAAACTACTGGCTTTTCCTCATCCTCTAATGCTTTTCAATGAGAGCAAAATTAATTTTTTTTTCCCTAAAAAGAGGTTAAGAGAAGAACAATTAAAAAACATATTTTAAAATAGTAGTTCTCGCTTTAAAAACTACATTCTAAGAACTAAATAAAGAAATTAAGTAAAAAAAGAAAAATCGTATCAAGGCTATAAGATCATTTCTTAAATTTCAGTCGAATTATAAATATAGTAGAAACTTCTCATAGATGGATATATAAACATTTCTCATAAAAATCTAAATTTCTAAATAGCTTCCAAACTTACATGCATAGATATATAATTTTGGCAAGAAAAAAATATTCTTTTGGCAAGTTCTTCAGAAATATCAATAAATAAATCCAAGTAATAACTTTAAACATGTTAAAACCCGAAATGGTTTTTCTTGCTGCCTGCAACAGGTAACAGCATGAGTTTGCTAAAATTTTGTAGTCTTCTACTTAGCTGGAAAACATGGAAATTCAGTCCATGGAAATTCAGTGTTTTGTCACCTTTAAAATTTTTGGTTGAAGTCAATTGGTTTTGCTGTATTTTCTCTTCATTTTCATATCTAGACTAAAAAGCTCAGTCTTTCCACTGTGGGAGAAAACGTTGAAAAGAATTTTGCTTAATGAGTATTCTTAAGGAATGCCAGAGTAAAGAGCCTATATTCGCACTTACTTTGAAAGGAAAAAAGAAGAAGAACAATAAAAAACCCCTTTCACTGACTCCTGGAGGTGGTTTCAGGCTAGCAAGGTTTAGATGCAGCTCGCTTTCCTGAATGACCTAGGAAGCCTGGAGATGCACGGCTGTCCACGTGCCTGCCCCACAGTACGTGTCAAACGGAGCTGTAGGAGCAGAGACAAACACCTCTCGAGCAGTCGGACACCTTCGCTTTTTCTCCGAAAGCTCTAAGCTCGGCGAGCCCGTTTGGCAGCTTTTCTGGAGATCATAAATCAAGAGATTGAGAATAATTTTCGGCATTTTTGTAGCGAGGCCACTCCCCAGGTCTGCGCCTCGCTGCGACGTCCCCGGGATGAAACCAACGCTGGCTGGGGCGCGGGCAAATGCAGACACCCATGACATGACACTTGCTGCTACTCCATTTGGGGCCAAAAATCCACAATAGCATTCAGAATTTGGTAATCATTTTTTCATATAGAGCCATACACTCAGAKAAACCGACTTAAACCATCTGCTAATACCAATTAAATTGCAAAAGACAAAGCTTTGAGGACTTCCATCACACCAGTGATCCCACACGGGCGTTTATTGTGAAGACTGTGCAGCTGAGTTACCTTCAGAGGCTCCATTTACAATACACAATTCCTCAGCTTTGCTATTCACACTCCGAATGGGCACAGGTATTATTCTGCCTCTCAAAGCGCGTGCAGTCCACTTTGCCGCTGATAATCTGCATAAAACTGGATCAATGAATCGGGAATCCTCGGGGTGACGACAGCCAACGCGTGCCGAAAGTGGCGTCCCAGTATATGCTGGGCATGTATATCTTCCTGGAGAGCGAGGAGGGCTGCTTCTCTGCACACTGCTGCTACCTGTAAATACACAACAACAACAACATCATCATCATCTTCATGTAGACAGCAGTGTGACTACAGAAATCTCCTATTGGAAACTAAGAAAGCAAGCGCAGGAACACCAACATTTTGCAAACGCCAGGTATGTCCAAGAAGAGACTTTCCYCGAGGTTCTTCTTAGTGAAGGGGCTGTGGGTGGTCAGCTCTTCCAGGAAGCAGGATACAGCTCCATCTCCAAACCATGGTGAAATTACATCTCTCAAAACAGTGTGTCGCAAATTACGTTTAACTTGATAATCATATATGACTTTGTGTTAAACGCCCTGCAACACCTGAAATACTAAAAACCCAATGACCAGCCGTCCCAAAAGCAGAGGAGCCGACATTCCCAGGCTCCGTGGGCACTTCTCCTTTTATGCTTTGCTCTGGGAAAGAAGTAAAAACRATCAGTGCAGAAAGGAAGGCGAGGAGGAGAGGGTGCGTGCGAGGGGAGGAGGGCGAAGGTCCCATACCCCGAAATGTGTTTTTAAGCTCTCCGGCCTTCCGAGAGCGGAAGCAGCCTGATGCCAGTGTCACTCTAAAGACACATTACGGCGCTGAAAGAGCTTGCGGAATGAAAAGAGAGACTGTGATTTCCAGTGCAACGGCGAAAACAGTGATTGATATTGACTGCTCCCTTATATCTGTAAGTGAAAGAGCCAGCTGACACGCATTTGTCCAGCTACTCAGCATATTTTCTCTGTTTGTTCACTTACTGAAAAGGGCTCCGCTGCCTGTGCTGTGCTAATGGCTGCCAAAGCCGTTTAGGAGCTTTTTAGGGGATTTAGCAGCATGTTTAGGAAGCTTTCACAAGAAAGCACGCATGGATTTGGATGGCTTTGTCAAGTTACAACAATATTACTGTTAGTTCTGTGCTGCTCTAATGAGCAGCAAAGCTAAACACTGCTGCTATGCATCTTAATGCTTTTCAGGACTTCAGAGACAGCTAATTGCGGAAGCATTGCTGAGATTCAGGGCACCAGCTTCTTAGAGAGATAAGTAACAYATCATTTAAGAAAATTATGAAGGCATCTGGGTCATTCCATTTACATTTTTCAGTAAGTAGATGGTGTGACTATTTGCTTAACTCTACCATAGGAATAGAAATACTTGAAGGCAAAAAAAATCCGCCCAACATCCCGTGCCAAAACCCGAATCCAGAAACTCTTCAAAGGGCAGAAGATTCCTGATGGGAAAAAAAGCTGCCCAACATCCTGTGCTGTGTCACTCATTGACGGAGGGGACCATTTCCCCTTAACAGGCACCACAGTAAAGGCAAGTTTCCATAATACTAAAAGAAAGAGACGTTTTCTGAGTTTTCAAACGCATTACTGAGAAACCCTGAACGCACAACTGATCTGCTCCGCTCAGAGACCAGCACATACCCACAGCACGAAGCCATGAAGCAGCACTAGGAACTTTGGCCACGAGGGGCAGGCCTGTTTGTACCAGAGAAGCTGAGAAAAACGCCATCATATTGGCAGATTCCAAAAGAAAACCTCAAAAAAACCCAGCGCTACCCAAGTAATTCCATTGCACTGATACACAGAGCAGGAATTTGCCCATAAGCCAATACTTGCGATGATTTCTTTATTTTACTTACATTTTCTCTATGATCCTGCCAAAAGTTACAGTGACCATAATTAAAACCTCCAAAAGATTTTTTCTTCTTAAAGACTCAACTGTAAGTTCTGTGATAACTGAAAGCTAATAGATGTGAGCAAGTACCACAAAACTGGTACTTTTTAACTTGCTCTTCAGAAGCATTTGTGTGGCTTGAAGGGGGAAGAAAAGGTTTAARATGTGAATTTTTCTCCTCTCTCTTTCCCTCTTTTCCTGCCTGCATTTTTCCTGTTGCAGGCTCCCTCTTCCAYGCCCTACACTGCAATGAGCTGCAGGCATCATGGCACCATGTTAAAAACTCGGGTCCTCGGGTCTGGCCACAGCAGTCACRTGAAACTGTTTCCATTCCCATTCCCCTACTAACCCAGGAAACCCAGCTTTCCTAACCCAGGTTTYGGCGGTAAGACATTCAACAAAGCAAGTGTGATTATTTGTCTGTATTCAAGTATGCAAAATTTCAAAAAAATCTTTGCRTTCTCGTTAGCTGGTGAAGCCCAATCACCCACGGAAAGCAAACCCAAGCAAGCCAGCCGACGGGAAATGAGCCTGAATTGTTCTGGGGAAACCTGCTCTATTTCTGGCCTAAAGCCTACTGGTTTTCAGGCGATACCTCTTGTSACAGTCATATTGGGACAATTCTTCCTGGACCAAGCCAACTGAAGGATTTTTAAACGTCACTTCTGTCTGGATTAAAATATATATAAACTGTTCCAAGTGAGACAAGAGCGAGAAGGAAACACAAGGGGCCAAGTGACAGCAGAAGAAGAAAAACCCGGGTTGTGCAGCCATCCCTGCCAGGCGTAGGGGCGCTCCAAAGGCAGACACTGCATCCAGCCGACCACTTCGAACAGCTTGCAATAGACTTATCCTCAGTGAAGCCGCCCAATTACTCCCTTAAATCGTTCCTGGTTTTGGCCTCCGCCACTTCCTGCGGCGAGTGCTGTGGTCTAAGCGTGCCCCGTATGAAAAAGCACTTGAGCTCGGCTTAAACCTGGTGATTTGGGCAAGTGCCTCCTGGCTTCCGTGTTATGAGAGCAGTGCTCCAGCTCTGCTCACCTTCTCCACATCCACGGTGCTTTAGCTTTCAAATACAAAAAAAAAAACAGGTCTTTTCTAAAGAAGACAAAAAAAATGAAGTATTTTGGGTCTGCATGTGTTGTAAAGAATAGGAATAACCCATTCCCATTCCCGCTCCAACGACAAAATGGTGCGGCGAAGTCCTGAAGGGCAAAGCAGCTATYCTGGACTGCATCTGAACGCACAGAGGCTTTCGGCACTGACTGCTCAAGTGGGAATGAAGACATTAAGTGAGTGTCAGAGACACCAGAGATCAAACAGCACCAGGCCAGGCAGCAGGTAATTAAGCAACAACCACGGAGGTGTGGGATGTTTCTGCAGAGATAAACAGCCAGCCGGGTCTTGCTGGCCACCATTAAATCTTAGAACGTACCTCGTTTTGCTTATTAATACTAATAAAAAGTGCAATAAAAAGTGATTCATATTTTCAACAGAATGAAAATAAACGAGTGAAAGAGCTATTAGTCTGAAGTCGGGAAGCCCTTCTTAGCACGGAAATCATTTCAATTCATATATGAAAAATAGATTATCACGTTTTTTGTTAACGAAAGAGCTGAACAGAACAAGTGATTCACCATCTGGGCGAGCGTTTCTACCAGCAGAAGCTGAACTAATTCAGAGTCTCACAAAACCCGCCACGGTATCAGCTTATCCTAGGAGAGGGGGTCAGCTTTGCTAGCTGAACCACACACACTCCCTGACCAGCAGCTAGCACAGCCACACACAAGCGCACATAAATAATGGCGAGTATCAAAAAGCAGCAGATTTACACCTAGCCGTTCCCTCCTCCCCATCCCATCCCATCCCATCCCATCCCATCCCATCCCATCCCATGCCATCCCATCCACCATAAAATGTGCGGGATTGGGTGCTGCTCCCGGAACAAGGCGCCTTCAGCACAACCCATCGTCCTTCCCACTCCACACCAAGTGCTCCACGGGCTGATTCAGCTTGACTGATCCCCCCCATCCTGGCATTAAGCTCTAACTCTTTCCAGAAGACTGAAAGTGCTTTTCAGCTTCTTTGTATTTAAAGTGCTCTAAATAGCTTTAAAGAATTTTTTCCCCTTAAAAAAAAAAAAAAGGAGGAAAAAAAAAAAAGGGCTTCTGTATTAAAGCCTTAGGTATTTTCAAGAAAGTGGTTTTGTGAGCAGGAGCCTGTTGGGCACACCTGTGAATGTGGCGTTTAATTGGGCTGCAGCTGGTGCCGAGCGCGCGCGGGGCCGGCTGGCTCCGCATTGTGCCTCCCGCTCCTTGCTCCTTCCCGGGCGGCTGCGGCCGGCTCCGCATTGTGCCTCCCTCTCCTTCCTCCTTCCCTTTCAGCCGGCGCCTCCATCCCGCTGGTCACGGCCGTGAGCGGGATTAGGAGCCGGCAACAGACGAGCTCCCCATGGTCCAGTCCATGAATAGCGCAGAGCGGGCGCTTCCTTCCCGGGAGCCACCGGGAACATCCCGCCGGTTTGGGTCGGGGCTGGCCGCTTTCCCGCCCCGCTAAGGACACATAAAGGGTCATACGTGGCGTTTTACAAAGCCGTGAATAAGTCCTGGGTCGGGACATCTGTTTCTCACCCGGGCAAATTGCTGCCCAGGTCAGGGTGCTCCCTGTTGTCCTCGGAGGGCCCGCGGGGCAGACGTGCCCTAACCAAGGCTCTCGTCCGAGGCGTTGCTTTCCAAGGCGAGATCGAATAGTGCTTCAAGGTACCACAACCATCTCTCTTTTCAGCAAGGTGCTTTTAAGTGATGAGAGGTGTTCCTCTTCACTAAATTTCCAGAAAGACTCAAATTTGGAATTGATCTTTTCTTTCAAACTTTCCTGTTTTATCCACRAAACAGGAAAATATGTGGTAATGTGACTTTTCTTTCTCTTCCCTTAGGAGAGAAATTCTTATGGATTGCTAAAAGTCTTCTTTCTTTTAGGAGAAAGAGCTTCCAACATCACAAAATAACCGATCACCCTGCAATGAATCCCAACTCAATCTCTGAGAGATCAGCACACTCTCTCCCAGGGGTGCCCCTCTTCATTACACTCCGGTCTGGGATTCAGGATCAGATGGACTCTATGTCTGGTCAAYGGAAATGGAAAATCTTGGATTATAAACACAAAATGGTAAAATACATSGGCATGATGCTGTTTGGCACAGGATCCATTCAGTCCTCAGATTCACAGGCTGTACCTATCCCTGTAGCTTTTAAGCAAWTTTCCTTAATCTTTACAGAAACTTGCTATCCCACAAGAGTCCCGTCAGGAAACAGAGGTGCACCAGGAACTCCGAGGCCACC